TGTTTAAATGCTAGACAGTAAATGGAACATTTTTGTAAGAACAGATATTGGCCGGGCAGGGTGTCGCACACCTTTAATCCCACCACTCAGGAGGCAGAGCCAGGAGGATCTTGTAAGTTCAAGGTCAACCTGGTCTGCAAAGCTAGATCCAGGACAGGCACCAAAACTACACAGAGAAACCCTGTCTTGAAAAACAAAAACCCACCAAAAGAACAGATATAATTCCTCTGAAGATTAGAAGTTGAAGTTGCCATTTGGATGTAGAACTCAACATTTAACATTTCAGATGACCTAAACTGTGCTCATTATCCCTTCCTCACCACCTGCAAAAGAATAAGTCCCAAACAAAACACCTGCTCCTTGTTCATTAAATGTAAACTCTGCTGCCTTTAACAAGTGAACTGAGGGCAGGAGAGATGGCTGAGAGGTTAAGAGCACTGACTGCTCTTCCAAAGGTCCTGAGTTCAATTCCCAGCAACCACATGGTGGCTCACAACCATCTGTAATGGGCATAGATCTGGTGCCCTCTTCTGGCCTGCAGTCATACATGCTGTATACTAAATAAATAAATAAATAAATAAATAAATAAATAAATAAATAAATCTTTAAAAAAAAAAAAACAAAAAACAAGTGGACTGAAGCATCTGTCTTACTCCCACCCATATCTAGTTTTTCAGAAAAACACACAGATCCTGACCATGTCTGGGTATACCTCTCCACTGGTCTCTTCCCTAGTTGGAGCTACCACCTAACACCGAGGTCTCCTGAACTAGTCTCCTAGCTCTTTTCTACATACTTCTTGCAGTGTATATTTTTAAAAATATGCTATGTGGGGCCTGGAGAAATGACTCAGAAGAACACTGGCTGCTCTTCCAGGGGACCCAGTTTTGATCCTCAGCACTCTCGTGGTTGACAACCAGCCATAACTCCAGTTTTTGGGGATCTTATTAAGCCTTCTTTTGGTTTCTGAGGCCACCAGGCACTAACGTAGTACACAGCCATCATGCAGGCAAAACCCCTATACATATAAAATAATAATTTAAAAGTTTAATATCTGGTGTGGCCCTGCACATAGGCCTTTTTTGCTGCGAACACTCCAGTGGTTACCTATGTCAAAGAAAAAGCTTCAGCCAATATATACTACAGTAAGGGGCTACAAGATATCCCTGTCATCTCTCTGACCATATTTCTAGTCCTCCTTACGTTTACTTGGCTTCATTGACATTGCTGAGTTTCTTCATGCTTGCTACCAAATTACCTGGAAGCCATTAGAGATGGCAGATATATCCCATAAAAATGCTTACGGTGGCGCTTACTGAAACTTACTGACATGACTGCTACTCAATGTTCTTTAAAGCAGAACACTATGGAAGGAAGAAAATAGAAAGCACACTGGGATAGAGAAGAGGTGCCCTTTTAGTGCATTCTGTACTTAACAACTGCCAAAGGAAGTCTGAACAGGCTCCAGTAAGGACGCCTGGACCTGGGGCACAGTAAATGGCTGGCTGGCAGTTTACTACCTTTTTCGCTACTTAGCTTTCGTATGCTCTTTGCTCCATACATCTGAACTCTGTGCGATAACGAAACCAATAGTGTTTTTGACCTCCCTCACATGATGAAAAAGCTCTGACCTTTTCCCTAAAGTGAGCACATGCTCACTCTATAGTCAGTGTCTCCATTGCAATATATTTATCAAAATTTAACTACATGTTTAATATCTCTTGTGCACATGGGATGGCTTGTACATCGGCATACTTGCGTAGATCAGAGAACAGCCTGCGGGAGTAACACGTGGAGCCTAAGGATTGAACTCAGGTCATCGAGCTTGAGAGCAAGTACTTTCACCAGCTGAGCCGTCTATCTTTCCTGCCCAGTATATATATTTAAATACAGGTTGTCATGTAACCTGAGCTGGCCTTGATCTTCTTGCCATTCTACCCCATGAGTGTTAGTAACAGGTATGCACCACCTCATCTGGTTTATTTGGTGTTGGAAGATAAACCTAGGACTTTGTCCATGGTGGGCAAGCAAGCACTTTACCAACTGAAATCCATCCCTAACTTCTTGTTTGTTATTTTTTGAGACAGAGTTTGCTATGTATCCCTGTATGGCCTGCTGCTATGCTTACTGTATAGTCCAGGCTAGCTTAGACTTTCAGAAATTTCCCTCTGCCTCCTACATGCTGCTAAGTTTACAGTCATGAACCATCATACTAAGCTCATA